CCCCCCCCCCCCTTTAGAATCTCTATGGTGTGTAAGCTCTGGGAAATCAGTTGTAATGTGACTGGTTCAAATTTTAAACTTTCACCCATTTCAATTCACATAATTTTCACTTAATAGTTTATTTCTTGCTCTGCAGGTATATTGTCATCTGTACATAGTTCTCATCATATTTTTACCTTTTAGGCTCTTCCTCTTTTCTTAACGTGTGATGAACTACTCGGATTCCCCTTCAAGACATCTTGAATGATGCACAAACCGAGTTTCTGATGTGTCATAGAACTATCTTCTAAAACCCTTCATCAGTTGGACTTTTTTTTTTTTTTTTTTTTTTTTTTTTTTTTTTGTCTTCTTGCTTGGCTAATTAATTCTTTGAACCTACGAACTTGTCGACATCTAAATTATTACATTAACACCTCTTAACTTTTTCAACGCAGGCAAGAATTTTGGCCCTTAATGCATCCTATTTTCTCAAAGCCGGTGGCCATTTTGTCATATCAATCAAGGTGAGTGAATGAATTGCCCTTTTGTTTAAAGGCGAAACATGGCATAATCCATGAACAGAAGATGATATATTTCATATTGAACTTTGCAGGCCAACTGTATCGACTCAACCGTTCCAGCAGAGGCAGTGTTTGCAAGTGAAGTGAACAAGCTAAAGGCAGACCAGTTCAAACCCACAGAGCAAGTGACTCTTGAACCATTCGAGCGAGACCATGCTTGTGTTGTTGGTATCTATCGAGCTCCAAAGAAGCAGAAGCCTGCTGCGTAGACAGTGAAGCGAACAACCAGGGTTTTGTGTCCTTATGGATGATTTATAGATAGCTCATAGCTGTAGTTTATCCATGTTTCTTATTTGATGATGATGTCATGTTTCTTATTTGATGGTGATTATTTAAGGACTGAATTTGCTACTTTTTCTTTCCTCCCTTTTTCTATAATATTGTATTCCTAGATTAAATTACAAATTTGCTCTATGTTTTGTTGAAAGGTGATAATTAGTTTTTCTGGCTGGATAAATTATTTATAATTTTTTTTTTCAAACCATAAGGATTTATTAGAACTAAATTATGTATTTATCATAACAATAGCAATCAAATGTTGAATATTAGATATATTTAATCTATGTTGATTAAATATACTTTTATTACCTTAAAAAACAAATGAACTTAGATAATCTACTTAGAAAAAGCTTGATAATTGATCTTATTGTTGAATATTATACATTACTAGTTATGTAGGAAAATTTTCCCCCAAATTTTTAATCAAATTTAATTCAGTAAGAATATGTGATTTAAATCCTTGAATAACTCGGTCATCATAAATTTAATTTAGAAAATGGAAATTTAATTTAATTCAGTAAGAATTTGAATTTTATTTTTTACATAAAAGGAGTGTATGATGGAATATACTGTTTTGTACTCTATATTTTTATTTTAAAAGCTTCATAATTAATTATTTTCATAAATAAAAAATAGTCCCCTGCCACTATAAATCATTAGACAATTGTTTTGGTTTAAAAAAAAAAAAAACTTCTTTACTTATCATTTATAATTAATTTAGAAAAAAAAAAGGAATTACTTTTCCTGTTAAAGAAACCAATTCCCAATATTCTATCAACGGTCATTCTCTCCGTAAAGGGAAAATATTTATGGTTTCAAGTAATAATGTACTCACACGAAGGGTATTAATGTAAAAGCACTGGAAAAGAAAAGTTACCGTTGGAGACGCGTTGCCGATATTTAAGTAGAGTCCCGTTCAAGGACACTTACTTTTGCGACGAACTAAAAACTCGAAAAAAACTGCTAGAAAATTTTCCAGTAGAAATTTAAGAAAGTCGAGAGGAAGATCAAGGGATTTCTCGCAAGTGGTAGTCGAATCTTCTTAATTGTGAGTTTCTCCCTGAACTCTGCTTACTTGAGGCATTTTTTTTTTCCTTTTACATGGAAATTTCAAATATCAATTTCTCTCGTATGTCGAATCTTTTCTGTTTTCTTTTGATTACTGTATGTTCCCGAGTTTATCTGTGAAACTGATGAACTGCAAGAAATTGACGAGAAGTGCTAAACAAGATTTTAGGGTTTCTTTTCGACGAAGTTTTTCTGTTCCTGTAAATTTATTATTCTTTACTTTACCAATGTCGTCCACGGATGATGAAATGAAATAAAAAAACTTGAGTAATTTCATTAATGTAAATAGGGCTTGTTCTGTATGTACTTTTTTCTTCCTGTGGGAAATCTGATTCTCTGTTTTTGAGATTGCGAAGCGAGGATGAGAATGAAAATCAAGAACAGGTGAAACATTACTCTTAGGCAATCTTCATGCATGATCGGCTGATTTTCATTTCGTAACCTTGAATTATATACCGATTTATATAGGATATTCAATTTGTTTCTCTGTTACTTGAGTCCTTGAGTCCTTGTGCTTTTATTTCAAGGGATCAACATGTAGCATGTAAGCCCTTTGCCTTGATTTCATCGTTAAATTTCATACTCGGTTCGATTCTTCCATTCGCAGGAGATATAATATACATTTCTGCAGCATCAGCAACATGGCAATGACATTGCAAAATGGCGGTGTTCTTCAGGATGAGAATCACAATGTTCACTATAATGGTTGGAGTTAAAGCCTTCTTTGGATCATTCTAAACCTACTTTTGTAATCTTGTTTAACTTTGTTATTTGCATCACAGGACCCTCCGGTGCAGGGAAGGGTAATGCCATGAATTCACAAAGAAAAAGTGGGGTTAGTGGGCGAAAGCCCCTTGGCGATCTATCAAATTCAAGAAAGCCAGTCTTAAACCAGTCATTAAAATGGCAGAACACAAAGAATCTCACGTTTCTTGATGAAGAAAATTGTGTAGGAAAAAAGAAAAACACACTGAAGGGCTCTGAGAGAGTACAGAAGGGTACTCGAAAAGCCCTTTCAGATATTTCAAACTCTGGAAAGCCAAATCTTCAAGAGGCCTCAAAGAAGAAGCAGAACCTGAAGTTGAGCACTGTAAGAGAAGAATTGATCCATCAGGAGCGCTTCCTGCACAATCATCAAGAGTGCATTAAAGCAAGAAAGTGCGCTGTGGAGAAGGATCAATTTCTAAGCATCGTTGGACTTGGTATGGTCATAAATTAAGTCTTGACATCTATCTAGAAAGTCCTTGTTTATTTGTTATTTCTTGTGTTTTTTTTGTTCTTATCTTTTGTTTTTGTTGTCATTTAGATCTCCCCAAGGAGTTGAAGATGGATAGAAAGGTCAGTTTTTGAATCTTTTCCTCCTTAGTTTTGTATAGAGCAAAAACATGACCCAGATGCAATTTTTTGGTTGCAGCCTGATAGTCCATTGAAGCTGAAGGAGATGGCGGAATTGGAGATTTTCGATCAATCTCCGAAGAAGTTGTGTCTGTTTGGAAGGGGAAGGCTTGACTCATCACCGCCTTGCAAGTCCCCAAAATCACCTTCAGTGGATACCTTTTCACTCTGGAAGGACAGTGACAGTATTAATTTCACGTTGATAAAGACCCCATAAGCCGACCCCCCTGAGCTTTCATCTGGAATGGAGAAAGGTTGGTGGCAAACGTTCACTGCTTTGATTGAGATGAAGATTATAGAATTCTCTCTTTTGGAAAGATTGTAGATTTTAGGAAATATTGTATTTGAAATGTTTTTGTTGTGTGTTTTGATTGAGATGAAGAAGATTATCATCATCTCAAATATTCTTTCTTGATGAAGGTCATCTGGAAAGATTGTAATGGAACACGATCTTTGTTTTTGACTGGAGATGAAGGCTGTTTTCATCTTATAGATTCTAATATATGTTCCTTTTGGCTTAGTTCTGTACACAACACTTGGCAGTTCTGAAATTTTCAATCCAAGTTACGTACATTAAGGTAGTAGGTACGCATAATCAACTGTGCTATGAATGAAGATTGTGTTGATATAGGTATCCATTTATTAAGAGCACCAAGCGTTGAACAATTCAATTAAGACCCATATGATAGCATTTGAAGTTAAAGATAAGTTTTTAACTGATGTTCAACAATCCCAAAATGACATCTTTAGAAGAGAACAATCCCTGTCTGTGTGCGAGAGTAGTAGGACTAGAGATTCTGAACGAATCCCGCTTTCACTTTTTCTATTGTGACTTTTTTGTTCTTTTTTCATTGAGCTCACACACAGACAGGGAGTGTTAGACGAACACGACTCTCCACAGTGGTATGATATTTTCCACTTTGAGCATAAGCTCTCGTACCTTTGCTTTGGGCTTCCCCAAAAGGCCTCATACCAATGGAGAGTGTATTTCTTAGATTATAAACCCATGACCATTCCCTAAATTAACCAATATGGGACACTTTCAACCAACAGGGAGTGAGTCTGCTCAACGACGTTATGCCTTTGGCCGATTCAAGTCTGCATTACAGCCTTGACTGAACTCCCAGGAATTCATTTGAGATTCAGTTCTCGAGTTTGATTCATCCTTTCTTTAAATTCTGTTTCAAAATTAGGCAAATGAGAAGCAGGGCAGGCCCATTGGGCTATTTTAGGAAGCCCAAAGATCAAAATTGCAAGGCCCATTGGGCCATTTAAGGAAGCCCACAGATCAAACTTGCAAGGCCCATTGGGCCATTTTAGGAAGCCCACTGATCAAAATTGTAAAGGTGATGATCATCATCAATCACGCACGATCAACGGTGGAAAGGGTTGGAAGTACAGTAGATTTGGCAACGCTGAATCGCTTACTAGCCAAACCTCATCTCCCTCCTCTCGGCTTGCACTTCGCGGCCTCCCGGTAAGCTTCTGACTTCAAACTACTCCGAAGAAATGGTAGTTTCTCTAAGACTACCTTCGCTCTCCTCTTTGCTTTCCCCAGCCTCTCCTTTCACTTTTTCCAGGCGAGCTCTGGGAATTTCATGGCGGCAGCAACGCCCGTTCCGGTTGCCTCTGCTTGCTCCTGGATTATCTGTGCGAAGCTCGTCTACCGGGACCGAAATTCATGTCGACAACTCGAAGAATCGAGTTCCGGAAGGGGCTATCACGCCTCGGTCGCAGGACTTCAATGCTTGGTATTTGGATATTATTGCTAACGCTGAGCTCGCGGATTATGGCCCTGTTCGAGGTACCATGGTTATTCGTCCCTATGGCTACGCCATATGGGAAGCAATACAGGTGGTGGAATTTATAATCTGTGTTTATTTTGACTGGAACGTTCGTGCTGTGTATTTCAGCTTTTCTTGTGTGTGTAATTGGATGATGAATTCTGTTGTAGGAATATCTGAATGTTAAGTTCAAGGAGACTGGCCACGAGAATATGTACTTTCCCCAGGTGTGGGTCTGGCGTATTTAAGAGTGCTAATGTGAATTGTGTATATGCTGGAAATGTAAATGATGGAATCTCTGATTTTTGCTCCAGTTTATACCCTACTCATTCATTGAGAAGGAAGCGAGTCATGTCGAAGGGTTTAGTCCGGAGTTAGCTCTTGTAACCATTGGAGGTGGGAAAGAACTTGAAGAGAAGCTTGTGGTACGTAGACTTAGCAAAGCTATTGATCCGCCCTTTTCCAGTTTTTCACCTTATTTTGATGTTGATACGTTGCATTGACTAAATTGGAAATGGATATTAATCCTCAATAAACGGTGACCTGAGGTTTGGTTTTGATTGTTTGGTTGCCTGAGGCTTTGGCAGGTTCGACCTACGAGTGAAACTATTGTGAATCACATGTTTACACAGTGGATTCATAGTCACCGTGATCTTCCCTTGATGATTAATCAGGTTAGATGATTTGCCACATTGTGAAAAGATTTTAGTTATCTTCGACTTTTATGTTATCCTTATTCATTACCTGTTCTTTTGTGTATTTGGTGTAGTGGGCGAATGTTACTAGATGGGAGATGCGGACGAAGCCCTTTGTAAGAACTCTTGAGTTTCTGTGGCAGGAGGGTCATACTGCTCATGCCAGTCCAGAAGAGGCAGAAAAAGAGGTATATCTGATGCATCCAATACTACTTTGTTGCTTCCTTTTTTTCTAATCATATATATCCTTTTCAGTAAGGAATTTGATGCTGCATTGCAGGCTATTCAGATGATTGACATCTATACAAAATTTGCTTACGAGCAAGCGGCAATACCTGTTATTGCAGGTCGAAAATCAAAGGTGGAGACATTTGCTGGTGCAGACAAGACATATACAATAGAGGCCATGATGGGGGATCGAAAAGCACTTCAGGCAGGAACCAGCCACAACCTTGGGCAGAACTTTTCTCGTGCTTTTGGAACACAGGTATTTTGGCAAATCAATGAAATTTCTTCCGATTTAAATACACTTGGTAATTGCTATAATAGTCGTTGAGATATATTTTTGTTATTTCATTGTTGCACATGCACCATTGTTGTTCCTATTGTACTTTGGTGATGTGAAAACCCTAGCCATTTGAATCTAAGAATCATCCCCAAGTGCATGGATATGCAAACCCTTAGTTCACAAATTAAAAAATCCCAAATCTAATTGATTTCATTCCGAATGGTTGCAACTCTTGGGAATTTGATCTAACATCCTTATTGAAGAATAAGACCTTTAGATCACTCCAAGGGAAAGTACGATCTTGAGTACTTTGTTGATCGAATATCTCAAGGCAAGAACACTTTCCAAGTATAATTTACAAAGATAACATACATTGCTTGATATAACCTCAAAATGAAAGCCCTTAACCTTCCACGAGGCATTTCAAGAGTAACTTTCATACTTTACATCCATTATTAGCCACTATGTAAATTTAACTCGAGGTAAATAAAAAGTCTTAGAAATACATTAAAGAAACATCATAACTCTAGATTATCATCCACCCAAAATGTGTAATCATCTAAAAATAAATGAAGCCCATATTTCTTGAAGTTCATATTGCATAATTGAGATGTCTTAGTTCCATATTATTTGACTTCAATTTGATTTCTATATTTTGTTTTGTTTGTTAAGATGGTTCATAAGTGCCCCTTTGAAACATTCAACCAAAACATTATTTGATGTCTGACATACTATATTGCACTGTCAATGTGAATTGAGTTACTGAAACATTTACCTGAGTAGTTCACCGATGAAAATGGACAAAGGCAACATGTATGGCAGACATCATGGGCAATTAGTACACGTTTTGTTGGAGGAATTATTATGACTCATGGAGATGATGGAGGTTTAATGCTTCCACCAAGGCTTGCTCCAATACAGGTATAGATATGAATTTATAATTTTTATTTTGTTGAGCATTACTATGTTTGCACGGTTTTGAATGAGAGAAAAATGTTGGCAATCCTCTTTTTGACTATGGCTTTCCCATTCCGGTTGTTATTTTCCTTTTGTTACTTCAAAAGTAGTTGGCTTTGAGCCACTTGAATTTTCTATTTTCTCCATAAATATTTATAGAATCCTAAAAAAAGATGAAGTATATTTAATGACAATATGATATTCAAGTGACTAAAGAGTAGGTGCATAACATGGTTGTCATATGTCCAAATTTTTGAAAACTTGAGTAGAAAGAACTTCTGATAATGCCGGCATGTTTCAGTTTTTTTTTTTTTTTTTTTTTTTTTTT